TAGAAAAGGCAGTTTTCTGTAACTTATGTTTTAATGCTATTCTGGTAAGCACACGTAGTAGCTGTGAATTGTTAGGGTTTTGGTACATCTTGACAGAATTTAATCGATAATCCAATTGGCAGATTGAAAACTGAAAATGGTTAGTAACCGGTAACCGCAATGTCAAAGTGGAATTCCTATCAACTCTGAAAAAAAGGCGACTAATTCAGCACCTCTAACTGTCACACAGTTTAGACTGAAAAGGGATCCGAATTCCAAAGTGTATGAACTGACGTACAAAGTGAAAGTTATGCAGATGGCGCACGGTTGTCAATGGAGACGTCCGACAAAAATTTCATTATTTGCAAACTTGTGGACAATCATTGCATTTTCGAAAATGTACGAGTGAATCTTTCGATCCGGCTTGATTTCATTCAAGAAGTAGCAATCAATACTTATAAACACGTGTCGTCAGATTTACGTCGATCCATTCGGTATCTTTCAATTTACTTTACCCCTATTCAACTGCCATACGTTATGGCTATTTGGAAAAATGAACTTATCAAATTGCACGGCATTTCCTTCGCACAAAAAATTTAATCATTCTTATTCAGCTACGACTGTAAAAGTCAACCACTACGAAGGGATTCAATAGAAAGCTTCCAGGATATTTTATTACAAAGTCAATAGGATCTCTTAATCCGTTTGAGTGGATAAAGCTGACCTGGAAGGTTGTTGGGATATCCTTTCAAGCCTGAGGTGTAGACACTCAAAATTGTAAAGTTAATGGCCGATCGGTAAACGATCGTTTGGCATGGCCTTTTATAGACAAAAAGAAACTTGGGGCAGGAATTGTGATAGAATCTGGGATGAAGGGTAGCTTTTCATTTGGAAATCGATACTTTATTAATGAAAGGCGATAACACTGTTGCTGTAATTATCGTTAGGTATAGATTCTCATCTTAGCTGCCGCCGAGTTTTTCATCCCTGAGACTAGACTTTCCTTTTTTGAAAGTTATATTTCATGTACAATTACATGACTGCAGGCAAAGCCAGCGTGAAAACTTGTAAATTAGATTAAGTGGAATATAAAGGCGGTTACGTCGCGTCGCTCTCATTAATTTTTATAACGTTCAAAGCATGGCATTGCATAATCCTTTTTGTACCGAAATGAATTAAAAGGTGATTTTTTTCAATTTAAATTCAATTTATAATTTGACTATGAATATTCGCCGACATTTGTTAAACGTACAACGGAGATTTCCGGTTGTAATCAATCATTGCCAACGTTGAAGATCATAATGAGTTGTGAATTTCACTCATTGACTGCAAAACCCACAGAACAATACCACCGGTGAACAAAGGATGAGTGCAAATGTAATTAATCTTACCGTCGCGCACGTAAGGAAGGAATGTAATCACCAGGGAATTAGCTATACAAATTTGAAAACTTGGCAACAATGCACGTTTGCGGTTCCCCAACTACCAGCGGCTTTAGAAAACCACTCAATCGAATGGTTCTATGTGTGGCTACGTTAAGCAAAAGCGATCCTAATTTTGTTACCTATAATCTCTAGTTCATAAACCATTTGTTTTCCGAGTTCATCTTTTTTCGGAAAATATCGTTAATTGAATAATTTTGGTTCTACACCTTTTCCTCTCGTGGGATTTAAATCTCATCTACTGTAATCCGCAAAAGGTTACTCTAACAAAATTTGGTCCGTCTAGCTTTGTCCATATATAACTTAGGCTAAATATCGCATTATCGGCAGATAGGCTATTACACCCCTTCTCGGATTAGACGATCTCTACTGGAACGATTATGAAAGGGATTGTTGAGAATTTGTTGTTTCACAGACTTTGATTTTTGAAGTTACAGAAGTTCTTATTTAACATGGAATGCACGAGTATTACAATGAAACAATGTTGATTGATGTCAAAGGCTGAGAAAAATCTGATACAGAGGGATCTCAAGTAATGAAAAGAATTGCATCCGTTGAATTTATTTAGACCTAAAAACAAATGAGAACATATAAACAGCGCACTAGACATTATATGGAAGTATTAATATAAAGTAACACTCTCACCTTAACATACATTATACTTACTATTACTGTAAGTCTACGATTTGGAGTTCTTTTAAGAAGCGAAAGTCAAGGAAAGTAGAAAACACTTTAATGAACACACGTGAGCAAAAATATGGTAAAAGTAATGACCAAAATGAAACAGCGATTTTTGTGTTTATTTACTTATTTAGTTATTTATTTATTATCCCTCTCTTGTTCGGGGCTCTCAACAGGCATGCGCCTAATTACAGAGTGACCCGCATAATGCTTTTTAGAGGTACCTCTGCAGAAGGTCTTAAGTTGTTCTATACTACTCCGGTATTTACCTTACAAATTGGGAAAACTGCAGGAAAACCTAATTCGGAGTAGCCGGCAGAATGCTCGAAACTGGTCTAACGTAATTCCCATTTTTGCCAAAGATGAAAAATTCACCTCAACCCAGGTTCGAACACGCGACTTCCGGATTTATAACTCAACGCTCTACCATTGAGCCATAATGCCGGATTTTACTACAACTAACTTTATAGCAACGAAAAACAACTCACTACTTTTTCATTACTACCTAATTTTACAATAATTAAAACTAAATCAAGGCGTTAAGAAAAGCAGGCATTTTCAAATATCTCAACACTCCCACAATTAATTTGTTTGTATTGAGCCGATTTCTAGTAAAGACAAACATATCGCATATTTTAAACATCAAGTGTGCGCATGCGCAAACGCCATCTTTTCTTTATAAAGATATTTATGCCATAATCTATTTTCCTTTGTACACATAAATAGTCCGTTACATGACCTTTCGGGAAGTACTGATCAATTCATGGAAAATGCGCTAAAGTTACTCGCCGAAAAGGCAACAACCTTTTGCTCATTTAAATGATATAAACAAGTACTTTGGGGTACATCGGAGTGAAACACAATGCGATTGTATTCTACAAAAAAAAAACCTTACTGACGACTGGTAACGATTTGTAACGGCTGAATGCGACCTTAAAGTGTAGTAGGGATTTTAATCACGTGTATGATTTTTGCCCGTAGTATGATTATTGATGTGCTGTCTTCGTGAATTTTCGAAGTTGTACGATTCGAGAACTTCTTGTAGACGATGGTGATTTTGTAAATGTGGTTGGTACTTGAAATTTGTTGCGTAATGTGAAATTGGTTAGAAATCGGGACATCCATTTGGTTGGTTTGTAGAAAACAGATTCGGGATTGCACGGATGCCGTGTACAGGAGATCGACCTTTTTCTACATAATTGGGTGTATTTGTATAAACACGCGGTAAAATTTTTGTTATCCGGGATAGCAACAAGTGGTGCCCTGATAATTTAATTTGAATCATCAATTTCAAGGTTATAACCTTTTTTCGTCAAAATTAGACAGTTTTTCGAAATTTTTTTTGTCAAATGGGGGGGGGGGCAGTTATGAATTTGCCCCCCCCCCCTTTACAATGCGCAACCCACTTTAAAAGCGAAATTTTTGTTTCCTAAAATTGGGGAGCCAAATTCAGACAGGTTTCTTTTTCGCTTACCAGAAAACTCAACATCCCTTTAAGAGAAAATCTTCAATCCGCAAGTAAATGACGCCCTACCCCGGTTTTTCGGCAAGGAGAGTGACCCCAGGAATGGAATTAAGGAGTTCGATAGAAGATATAAAACGAAGTTTCGCGAATATGCAAATCGGTAGCGAAAAGTGAAATTGTATTATTATAGTGTGTCCCAGGTAGAACGCACCATAGGGAAACGGCAATGTATTTTTTCGCGAAGGATCCACGAGACCTTTGATATTAGCGTTCAACGTACTACTCCAATCTCTGCCTATCATCAGGCAAGCAATTTTTCAATAACGTTATCTTATTTTATGTTGTTATTTCAAACTGGTACTCATGATTTAGCGCTAGTCAAATGACTAACATCGGAATAATAGGATCAACCGTATTCCAGTCTTGCCCTCTTAATTAGTTTCGGAAACCTAGGTGATGAGGTGTCTGGAATGGGGATCGTATTTTAATTAGGGATATTTAGTTACAACTGCCAACTCGGCGTGATGTCATGCAGAAGCGCGGAAATTGCAAATTTGGCATGTCTGAAAAATTGGTGGGAAAGATTAAGTAACGAATTAACAATTAAATATGTCCGTCTGCATTAACCATTCGTCATTTTGTGGGTAGTTTTTAAGGGTATTTGGTCTGAAAGATCCAAAGGGGACCCACGTTAAGTTGTCGCAGAAAATTTCGTTACGATTTAAGTTCATATCTTATTAAGGGCTAATATTTTACAAAAAAATTCAATTTGATACTTACAAATCTCTATTTCAAAGAAGGGATGGATGGTTAACCCCTTATTTGTGCAACCCCTGTTGCAAATTCGGAAGTGTTACGTGAAGACAGAAACAGATACGCGGAATGAAATTAATCAAAGTGATAGAGATAAAAGTGGAGGTTACTCGAGTAATTAAAATAAAGTTTCCAGTGTAGCAATTGCGGACGGACTGGACATAAGCGATTTGAGTGTACTAAGAAGGTTGAATAAATGAATATTGCACATGTAGCACAGAAAGGAAACTGAGAATAGTATTTCATTTCTTTCCAAAGTGAAGTCAATGAAAGAAATTAAAGGGGAATTTGGCTGGAATATCAAGTGCAGTCTGCAAATGAGGAAATAGTTTTTATTGTAGATTCGGGTGCAATAAACCATTTAGTTAACTTTAAAACGGGATATTACCTAATCGAATCAGTCAGTAAATTCCACAATAAACGATGTGAAAATGTGAAGCATTTAAGCGATCAAAGCATAACTAATAAGGATGTAATGGTGATGTGGATTTGGATTGTAATCTGAACAAGACAGGTTTTGAATTAGTAGCGTAATGTAAAGTGAGGAGCATAATTGAGAAATCAGAGGCCCATTTTCTATGCGAATTCACCGAGATTAGTAATACAGATAGAATTGTTACCTGCGTTTTAGTTGCATTTTTTGTGGTACTTCGACCGCTTTTGAAGTGTAGGCGTCTGAGAGCAGAAGTCGCCGTAGTAAAGAGGTCCTCGGACGGTCGGGGAGATCTAGGGCCCGACTGCGAGCTAACTGTCATCCTAGGGCGAGGACCGGGACTACTGCTGGGAGAACAATTCTCAGAGGTACTTTCACTCTGAAAAATAAGAAATAGCATTTTCAATTATGCATCTCTACTTTGCTTACTTACTACATCACCAAATTTTAGGAAAGGTGGTTCTTTTAAATCATTTATTTTTTTTACACTATGTAAGGAACTCTTGTCGTTGAGAATAGAGGTTCAATTTGCGGACTGTTTGAATAAATTAATAGCTCTTGTCAGTATATTGTTCCTTGTATTATAATTAAATTTGTAATTACAGTTTCGAACTAATAGTAAAATGTTTAAACAGGTTAAACTTGCTAACTTAATGACAGGGTTGAACAAAAGTTTAACGGCCGCCGTAAACGATTAGTGAAACATTAAACAGATTTAAATTAGTAAAATGTCAATAAATACAGCAAAATCCCATTTACACAAGTGTAATGTGAATTTATTTCGGTTTGAATCCCCTAGATGTTTGTATTTTAAGTTCACAGAACGTAATGTAATTAGGAAACGTTTTAAATTATATGCCTTGTATGTGTAGACAGCTTTCACAAATACTATACGGAAACTTCAAGAACCCCAGGTAATCGCCGCAGCATAACGGACAGCTAGCGATTCGGAAAACCCTTGCCAAACCTTACCAATTAACTGACGACTACACAAAGGGAAGATAATTTGATGTTCATGTAAATTACTAAATAAGCGCCGAAACCCCTTTTAATGATAGGTAAGAATCGTTGTAATAAATGTGCATACATTAAAAAAACGATCCTATAAATTACTTTACAAGTATTCGAGGCATCTAGCAAACGTACCTATTCAACTGCTACATTTTGCTTATTCAACCGTTAGTATGTTTGATAAAGCTTCCTAAATGTACTGAGGTGTAAAATTCAACACAAACAATTAGTGTTCCAATTAACACACTTCATTGGACAAAAGCGCTTTTAAAATGTTGTCTTTCAAGTTTTAACAGCGGTTTAATTTCCGTGCAAAATAAAATTTCGTGTACCTATACCTAACAAAAATTGGGAATTCTTTACAATAGCAATTTTAGGTGGCGCCATTTTGATCGATAGTCGAACACATTTTTGATGTCTGACCACAATGTTATGAAATCCAAGCGTTTCATTTCAATCGTCAGGTTTCTTTACGCTGCGCTTCGTAATATTGGACTACAAAGTGAGATGGTACCTGAATATATATTTTTGATTTACCATGTGTAAAGAAATTTACAATCTCAAACTAAATTTGTATATATTTCAATTTGTAATTGAATAAAACGAAGAATATCGCGCTTTTCGGTTTCGCGGGGCATTCGAGACGGGTGCGCACATTCACATTCATGAGAGATACGCCTGAGCTACGTTATATTTAGTGGAAAAAGTGCTAAATATTGTTCCACAAGATTAGAAGAGTTACTTGTTTGACCTATTTATTCTTCACTTGACGTATTTGGGGCAAAAAGCAGTCATTTTAGTTACAAATCGAAGATTGAAAAATATGTTTCGAAATACGCCTTCGTCGTAAGCATCCCGCTTTTGTCGTTGTTACACCTTTCCATAATAATTGAGGAAACCGTGGTCGATTATCTGCATGTTCACGGTGAAGTCATATAAGCTGTTTCAAGAGAAGGTATGTGTGGCATCACGTATTAATAAACCGAATTGCGTTTGCGTTTCTCTGGACAATCGTTTGCGCGTAAAACTTATAGTGCAATTTATCACCTATCACCTATAACGTTTGCATTAGCAATAAAGCAGTCGATGATTACCTGCATTTGACAGTTCTTTTGATTTAAAAGTATAATTCAATTAATGTATCAATTTTGATCTTGTTGGCATATTTAAAATTAGCGCTATGTTTGAGCACCAACGATCTCAAATTTTCTTGTCATAAATTCACCCAAAGTTTTGGATATATCAATTATACTACATTATTAATTTACCACATAACACATAAGAGGTGTTTATTTAGGCAAATCACAAAGGGTAAGTTTAATGCAAATAGTTAATAACGTAAGGAGCAATTACAAGTCAACGAGTCAGTAAATAAAATCAACAAACAGTGGCGTACCAATATGAAGGTTCGACCCTATAGATCACAAAGGGAAATCCAAAAACGTAGAAATCAGAGTTAAAGGATGCGGTTGAATTTTAATATCGGATTTTTGCTATGACGAATTTTGTTTTTTATTTTACTATTACAACTCTTAATGTTATTTCTCAAGAGAGTCCTTTAAAAGAGTACAATTTCAACAAATCCGTGGCTTGTTCTGTATTCGATGGCACAGAGGATCACCTCACCAAGGCAGTTGAACGCGAAAGCGGTGCGAGTTTTTCTCGACACCAAACATTAGTGTCAATGTTGAATTAATAAAATCTGAGCCACACTCGGATCAAGCGAAGAGGAGGATTCCTGTTTGTAACGCCCGCGCCGCTGCTTTTAAACATACGACGGTTTGGGTTTACACTTTCTCCAAAAAGGGGTTAGCAGTCCTCCAATCGCTCTCCGAAGGAAAGGTTTGAAATCTTCAGCATCGGGCCAATTGTAGAACTCATTTCCGGATGAAGAAGAAATCAGAAAATAGATTTTATTACCCGGAAGACAGTTGGCCAATCACAACCAAGTCATGCCTTTCATGTACAGCAGAGAATCGCAGTGCACGAAAAAAACGCATTAGTATCCCATAGCAAAACGGTAATCTTCTTGGGACAAACTTTCTATATGGACAGCGACTACAGAAGGGAACAAAAGTTACTGTGAGTCATACTATTGGGATGCAACGATTCGCATTCCTGTTGTGTTTGATTCACTTGTTTGTAAATGAATGAAAGTTATGTTCGCACCTCTTTTTGCAATGTTCAAAGTCTTGCAACTTTGCCACCTACAGAAGATGCTGCTGCGCTCCATTCATTTCGGGCCTATCATCAGATCCAGCAGTGGCATGGAATAAAGAAAAACGCTCTTGATTGGGGTTGGAAACAGAGCAAAAATGGCCTCATACCAATTACCACCTTGCAAAACTCTGCCCCGGAAAAGATCTTAAAATTTCATGTAAATGTAAAAAGGGATGTGGCAAAGCGTGTGGTTGTAGAAAGGCAGGGCTGCATTACTCTCTTGTTTGCGCCAACTGTCATGGCTCCTGCGAAAATATGCCAGATGACACGCTGGCCTTAATGGAGGAGGAGGACGCCGTTGACGACGATGATGGTGAATTGACTAGTTTTACAGAAGACGACGATGAGGCGTCTAGCGATGAAGATGAAACATCAAGTACTTCAACAGACAGCCCTTTTGAAACTGAATCAGAGCCCAGTGAATCTGAATCATCAAGTTCAGAAGCCCCAGCGTCTCCAAAACGCTCAAAGAGGATCATGCAGCTGTCCAAAAAAGGCCCAGAAATTTCATCTGATAAGTGATGCGACAGAACCTGAGCAGTTTGATCAACCCGGTCCATCAAGTCGGAAGAGATAAAGAGCAGCCACTAGATGTCAACACACCAACGTCATGAAATCGGCTTAGGTTGCGTCAATTCAGTCACTCTAAAATCATCATTTTGCGATAACAAAATGGCTAAGATACTGACTTGACACAACCTGAGTGGCGGGGGCTTTAGTGAGTAAGGCCTTTTGAATCATTCAATGCAGAAATCATGTTGCACATTGTGAATAAAAATTTTAAAACTTAGTCTTGATGCTCAATGTCAAATTCGGATTCAGCGACCCAAAAAACATAAACCCTGCATCTTGGTTCTTTGTCTCAGACATTTGCAAGGTGGACCCCTGTTTTGAGCTCTAGAGCCTGGACTATTATACTAGAGCTAAGAACTCAATCAGTGATATACAAAACGACCAAAGTGCCATGTGAGGGAGACAAGAGTGCTCTGGAATGGCGCTATAAAGTTCTGTAAAGCGCATTTAAAATTCCCTAGACGCCTGAAAATGCGAAAATGAAGCTCTACATTGCTTTGGAAAAGGTGGCATGAAAAGATCTAGACTCTCTGGGCTTTGAAATTCACCTGAAAGGTTACAGAAAGCGCCTGATTGCGTTCTAGTGGTTTCCACAACCTCTAAGCATTCAAGAAGTCTCCGGGAAGCAGATTTCCTGTATTGCCTCATCATATGACAAGTTACGCAACGAAGGAGAGTTTAAATAATGGCTGCAAGAGTACAATTAGTATTTGTCATAAAATTATAATGAGAATATAAATTTATTGCGGATTTAACTCGTGTAAAATTTATTAACGTAAAATACACCTAAAGTTTGTCTATATTTCAAAATGCCAGAAACTTCAGGAGTAAACTTCTTGAGGATTGTAAGACATCCGAGTGAACGTAGTTTACAGTCGGTTCGAAGTAAACTTCGAGCAAACATTAAGAAATGTAAAAATACAACTCAACTCTGAACAAACAATATAGAATTTGTACAGTAAATTGCGATAAATCGAATCAGGCTGGATATTATTTGCTAAGGATTTGGAACAAACTATTTTAGAGTAAGCATGTTTATTTTCCATTATTGTGAGTTAGTTATATTTACACAGATTTCCCTTATTAACGCCCGGTGACAGATTCGAGGCTGCACTCTTACATAAATTGTGGTATTTGTCTTGTAAGCCTACAGGTTTCCGTTTCGACGTTTTATGATAATTTTCACCCCATACCAAAAACAGTCAGTTTCGTTATTTATGAATTTACACGTCTCGCACTCAGCGAAACGTGAATGGAGGCTCTATTGAATCGATATTGAACGTCTGCTATTAGTATTATGGAAGGAAATCGCGACACAATGCCTACGAAGGGAAATAAATATTTATACAGCAAATGCTTTTTCTCTTGCTCCACTGTTCGCAAACTTTAAATAAAATATAACGATTTGTAAGAGGTATTCATTATTCATTATTTTCTGAGCTTGTATTTACATACAAACTTCGACGGTTAAAATATGTTTTTGTGAAGATCCCGAGGGCTTCGATGGTACAAATCATAGGTTTTGCAGTGATACAAATTTTCCCTCAACGTCTTACAAAAATAATAAACTTTT